TGGATTACTGTTAACCAGAGAGAGGAAAGAGAAGTATATTTGGGGGCTGGAGCTGGTGGCATAAGATCTTGCTTTGGGCATATTAATTTAGGGAGACTATGGGAATTTCACTAATTATTAGTTCTTTTTACTAAAATTATTAATCATGCTCAAACTCCCCAAGAATAGAGAAGGAAAAAAAATCTGTTCCAGGATGTTTGTAGGCTCTTTGGAAAAAAGATAAGGGAACACTTGTGCTATATGTTTAAGTATCCTGTGATAGAGATCCTCAAAGGGTGTCCAGGACAGCTTGGGATATTTGGTTACTCGTTAGTGAGGATGGGAATAAGGGCAGTGTTTGGAAAGAAGGCCTGGGAAATGGTTTTGTGGAATCCAAGTTCTTTACCATTAGCCATATGTGAATCATCTAGAGTGGCAGGATAGTTGGAGAGGGCAAAACATTTCAAGCAGCAATAGATGTTTATACAACCCCTTCTAGTTTTGAAAAATGGCCTCTTGTATGGTATTGTGTGAGAACTTTTAAGGGTATGAGAGACTATAGAAATCAGTAGACCTTGAATTTTATGCTGGAGTAAAGGAAGAGGGAGGCTGATAAAGATTTTCAGAAGGAAGAGGACATGGTGGGGGAGATGTTCAGCTACTAGTTGGAAAATAACATTTTTTTTTCTTGGTGTTCTATTGCTGTGAGGAGACCCATGACCACCACAACTGGTTTAAAGGCAATCATTTATTTGAGGCTGACTTACAGTTTAGAGGTTTAGTCCATTGTCATCATGGTGGGAAGCATGGTGGCACACAGCAGACATGGTGCTAGAGAAGGAGCAGGAGGAGAGAGAGGGCCATTGAGCCTGGCTTGGGCATCTGAAACATCAAAGCCCACCCCCAGTGACATGCTTCCTCCAACAAGGCCACACCTCCTAATCCTTTCATAATCCTTTCAAATAGTGCCGTTGCCTGGTGACCAAGCATTCAAATCTATGAACATATGGAGGTCATCCTTATTCAAACCACCACATGCTTAGAGCTCAAAAAAATGGTGCTGGTTTCGGGGTTTAAATTTAATTAGGGGCTTACAATAAAAGACAATGCTGTTTATTTGCAAAGACCAGCAAGGAAAACAAAAATTATGTTATAGTTAGTGTGCTGAGTGCTGTAGTATGATGCTCTTTGGATTCAGCACGGAGGAGGAGAAAGTGACTTCAGTCTGCATTCAGCTCTCACAGAGCATAGGTGGTATCTGTTGCTGAACATATCAGAGATGTTCCTGGCAAAGTCTCTCCCTGAACCCGGAGCTCACTGATTCTTGCTCTTCTAGCTAGGCTGTTTGCCTCAGAGCTCCCCTTCCTCTGGTTTTGAAATGCAGAGTTGTGGGTGGGTGCCACACCCACCCTGCTTTACCATCCCTTGTGGAGATCTGAATTCTTGTTTACAGAGCCAGTGCTTTATTCCCTGAGGCTTCTCCCTGGCTCTGAACTCTTAACCTATTGTAAGGACAAATGCTCTTTTCCTTATCTCAGTGGCTCAGTGGAGCTCTTGAGATTTTTCCTACTGTGTAGAGTCTGTTCTTGTTTAGGGGCTAGAGCAAAGAGGGAACTGGGAAAAGCATACATACAAACCCATAATTAAGATTGTCATGTAGAATATCAATAATAGAGGTTATTGAAATGATAACTATGGGCCAGGATCTGATACAAACACTTTATAGAATCACCTCAGCATGGTGATGCACACTTTTAATTCCTACACACCCAGGAGGCAGAGGCAGGCAGAGTTCCAGGCCAGCCAGGGCTGCATAGTGAGAATGAAGGAAAGAAGAGAGTGATCTCACTAGATAAGAGTCTTTTAAAGCTCATCACAATGACTGGCTGTCTTAGAGAACAATGCATGGTGAATGCTTAGCAGGTACTGATCACCATTGCTTATTAATTAGGGACTAGTTATTCATCACCATCATTTTACTAGCTTAGGAAGTCATGATGAAGTTTAGTAACTTGCTCACTATCTCATGGCTCAAAAGCAATGGCATCCTTTGGGGTTGGAGGTGAGATACTGGTTGGTGTAGTTTTTGTGAGTTAAATGGTGACTGTGCTTAAAATGTGAAGATGTATTATATGTGAAAACTGTATGAGGAGATGAAAGAGAAGCACCATATAGCTTGGTGATTAGAAATAAAGAAATCACCAAACTCACAAGCTGATTGACTGCAGAAGCAGTAAATAGTTCAGAATAACATAAGAAGAACATTGTGTTTGGTAGAGATGACAAGCTCTGTTTTAGTCACCTTGTGATTTGATGTCATATAGTCAAGTGAGGTGACTAGCAAAAAATTCAAACCTAAGGAGGGTGGTTAGGAGTTACTCAAATGCAAATGATTGGTAGAGTCTCTGCTTGGAAGTGTTTAAAGTTTCCAGTGGTACTAAAGTGTGGTTTCTTCCCTCTACACAAACCTGGAGAGTTAAAAATAAAGTCATGCTAAAATCTCTGCATAAAATTACTACATCTTTGCCCACACATGCTTTAAAGGAAACCTAGTAGCAATTTTAGGAATCTGTTTTATATCTTTTTTGCATCTGTGTGGTATTTGTATATGCATACACATATGCTTATGGCATACGTGTGTGTTTGTGTGTGTGTATGGAGACCAGAGATGGACACTGGTATCTTCTTCAATTATTCTCCACCACTTTTTTTTTGAAACCAGGTCTCACTGTATAGACCTGGCTGGCCTGAACTCATTATTTAGATTAGCTTTCAATACAGAGATCCATCCGCGGTTGCCTTTCAAATGCTGGGATTGAAGTTCTAAGGCACTGCACCTGGCCATTTATTTAAAGTGCCATTTTATTTTATTTCTAAACTTTCCCTCTGACTTCTAAAATTAGGTTTTTGAAAATGTTGTGTCATGGGGCCCTGCGAGCCTCAAGGCTGACAGGGAACCATTTGGCATAAGGTGAAGGATGAAACTTGGGTCAGCACCACTGTAGCAGGTGCTGGGTCGAAAGCTTTCGGAGTCTGACCTTGCGGTTTATTTTTCTTACAGAGTAAACACAGTAAAACTTTGTAAAAACTGTCTCCGTGCGACTGTTATCACAACAAAGCTTTAGGGATGGCTACATCTTAAACTCCCTTGCAAAACCCACTTCTAGAGCAAAGCACCGGTGACCTTCAGCCTTAAGAATGAGTTCTGTTGACTGCTAAACAGTCCTCAGGGCAAAAGCCTCAGGAGGAAGGATTTGTAATCAGTGTAAGAATAGATTCTATTGATGGAGGATGCAAGCTACCTGGGCCTTCTTTCATAAGGATGAGTCCTATTCACTGAGAGACAAAGCTCAGGATTAGGGCCTAAACAACACTCAGGGTTTAGGGGGATTCAGATGAGTGGTGACTCCATAGAGTAGCAAACAGATTACCAGGTTGTTAGACAACGTGCACTCCAGTCTTCCAGGTGAAAAGGCATCCTTTCCTTCCCTTGAAGGAGATAGGTATGCATGTTTAACAGTTCTGGTTCCTCTCATGCTTTCTTGAAGCTGTACCTCCTACAGTTTTAGACAATGCATTTTTATTATAGTAACCCCTACCACGACGTCTTCTAGATCCTTCCCTTCCTCTCCACCCTCTCAACTTTGTGTCCTTTAAAAAAATTATCTATCTATCAAGTCTAGTTTGGGCTGTTCACATACCTGCTCAAAGTAAAGCCAGACAACATTCCCTGGAGAGGGCAAATGGGCATTCAGTCTCATCCCTAGCTGAGGAACCCTTGGCAATTGATAGCTGTTAAAGAGGGAGAGTTTTCTTTCAGAATGTGGCCCCTGGTAGGACAACCACACTCCCATGGATGGCTCTATATCTTCCTCAGCTTTCTGAGGCTGGATCTCTCAGTAAACCTGGAGCTCACTGAATTGGCGGAGGTGGCTGGCCAGTGAGTCCCAGGGGTCTACTCCTTTACCTCCCAGGAGTTGGGGTTACAGCAGATGTAGCTGTGTCTTTTATGTGCGTGTTGGGGTTCTGAGTTCTGGTCCTTTGGCATATGCAGCAAGCACTTTACCCAGGAGCCGTCTCCACGGCCCTCGATTCCAAGGAGCCTTAAAGAATTTGTCACTGTTGTTTCTGGGCACGGCCGCCTGGCCCTTCCTCTGTTTCCTTGCCCATGTCTCAGGTGTGTTTCCTCTGGCTGGCATCATCAGTCTTGCAGAGAAACCAACAGCCTCAGCTCCTGGGAAGCTGTTCTGTCATCACAGCAGTGCCGCATCTCCTGTCAGTTCCCATCTTCAGTCAGAAACACTCTCTTTATCACCCTCATTCTTTGTTCCCCCATTCCATCTTGGACTTGTTATCCTTTGACTGTGTTGTTGCCCCATCCAAATAGCATAGCTCATGGATGAGACTTTTGTGGCTAGGTGAACTCAGTGCTTCTCAGTTATTGCTTCATCCATCCTCTGGCACAGCCAGTATTGTCTGAATTCTAGGAGGAAGACCATTTACTCACCTCAGAGTCAGACCAGGACCTTTGGTACATGCTCTTGGATAAAGAGGGATGGGAAGGGTGGAAATGTGTCTTTTAGTGATTTTTCCATCTTTGTCCCTTCTACTCTTGGTGGTTCTTCATATGGGTGTCTCGCTGGTTGATATTAGATTATTTCCTCCTTTTCCACAGGGAATGGTGATGTGGGAGTAGGTACCACCAGAATATTATCCTGGGAAACTTGAGTCCCTCTTTGCATGTGTTTTTATTCTTCATAAAACCTTTTTGTACCTCTTAGAGGTAGAAATAAGTATTGATAATTTATTATTTATGTATTTATTCTGTTTCTTTTCAGAAAAAAATCCTAGTTAGCCTGTCTGAAAACTCATTTGTTCTTACTTCAGGATTGCAATTGGTTTGAAAGGTACAATAGTAGGATTTTTTTTTAATTGAATTCTGCTCAAGTTATGAAGTACACTGCAGCATAAAGATTGCAAAAAAATTACAGGTGATAGATGTATCTCTTTTTATTTTGTAGCCTTCCTTGAATCCCGGGGGAAGCCAGTCTTCAGATGTGGTGCTTTTGAACCACTGGAAAGTGAGGAACTTTGAAGTGCAGCGTGGTGACATCGTGTCGTTGGTGTAAGTGATTCAGAAACTCACTGCATTTGTGTTTGTGTTTATCTGGATTCAACTGATAAGTCACTGCTGATGACATTCGGGCAACTATGAAATTAATGTGTGTGTTTTAAATATAATCCATATTGGCATATAGCAATGCTAGAAAGGTTTTTTTATTTGATATATATCAGTTGAATGACATAACTAGTAAATTTTGTGTAATGAAATATTACAATTTTGTATCTTGGTAAGCAAAGTTCTGCGCTTTGTTTTACTAGTTTTGGAAAGAAAACATTCTTAGGAAATGATAGTTATGTTGTGAAATTCAATGGCATTTGTGTATGTTGTGAAATTACCTGGAAAAAAAAGTTTGAAAAACTAGTATTATTGGCTTTTGTCTGCATCAAAAGATGGCGCTGTTTCTCTGTAAAATATTGTGACTGGGTGGGAATGAAAATTGTATCCCAAGTGTTGGTTGTAAAGAAGGAATGTTGAAGTCTACATAACCGACTCAGTGACATAGTGAACACCCTGCACGTGCTTGAGTGCTTCAGATTCTACATTTTTGTTTGTTTTACAAAATAAATCCACACCTAACAGACTGCAGCAGACCTTGCTTAATTTATTCTGGCTGCAGCTGTTTATAAAAACTGTTCTAGTTGATGCCCTGTTATGGAAGTCAGTGCATGGAGCAGCAGTTGGTGTAGGAAAATTATTCTTGCTTATTTTCGTGACAGTAAAACCTACTATTGAGTGAGAAGCTTTCTGTTTCCCAGTTACTCCTTTTCCATGAGCTAGAATGTGATTTTTCATGTTGCATGATAACGTTAATAGGTAGAATAATCTAGTATCAACTTGCTCATCTTTACCTGTAGATGATTTTGTTGCTGGACATAGATATTCTGTAAATGTGTCTCCTTCAAGGCTGCTCTTCCCAGGGTTCATTTGAAAACACGTTCCCTACGTCTGGTAAATGGCTAATGAAATACATTTGAGTGGAAGTTGATGGCAGGCAGCCAGGGGTGGGATTGAAATGCATCTGAGGTTTCGAGTATTTTCTTTACTGTTAGTCTACACTTTGGAGTGTACTTTTGCTCTGTCGTTCAGTACACTGTTTTTGCTACCTCCTGATAAGCCTCTCCATGTGGAATAAGCCTATCATGTACACATTGTTCTTTTGCCTTTGGTCTGACAAGTTTACATCCTCACTTAGTTCTTGATGAAGAAGATACCCACCCCAAGAGAAAGAAGTCATGTAACAAGTGGACAGCTGTGTGTTTTTCTCCCCCTAGGAAAACATACTGACTATCTCTAAGCAGGCAAATTTGAATTGGTAATTGAAAACCGTGAGATGGCTCCTTGGAATTCAGGGTTGTGAGTCCATAAAAATACTCTGACATATCATGATTTATTTCTAAAGGAAAACACAGCTCTTTTAGGTAATTGCTATAGTGATTGATAATTATTATACAAATTAATTTAAATGAACATTTATATTCAAATTGGGATTGTTAAATTAGCTACTGCAAGTGAAGTACTTTTTTTTTTTGAGACAAGCCCTGGCTGCACTGGAACTCGCTTGTGAACCAGGCTGGCCTTGAACTCACAGAGATCCACCTGCCTCCGCCTCCCAAGCGCAGGGATTAAAGGTGTGCGCCACCACGCCCAGCTGGTGAAGTGCATTTTTAATGAGTCAGTTATGTGCTGTATCTTTGTCATGTAGAAATGACATAACTTCATTTCATACGCTTCGTCACTAGCAGGCCTCATTTACATAAAAGAATGCTTAGTGTTGGAATTATGTTATTGAACAACAAATAATTATTAAGCAATGCTGTTGTCTGTGTTTGAGAAAGAAACTGAGTTTGATAGTCAGTTCTTCAGCTTGAGGTTGTACTGTGAAAGCTATATTATATTATGGCATTTTCTGTCCGGTTTTATGAGCAAAGTGCTTTCTAGACATATGTCCTTATATTTTCGTGCAATTTATAGACTGCTTCATTTGAAAAGGTTAGTGTTGGTGTGATAAACTTTCACCTATATGTTTAATCCATGCCAAGCACATTGAATATTTGCTTCCTTACAAAAAGCACCACTATGGTTTTTAACATAGGCAGTAATTTTCACTGCTACTTCAGAACTTGCTCTCTTTTCAAGAAATGTGTAATAAATATGGTAATGAATATTTACCTGTTTATTTTAAAAGGAACATAAAATGTACTTTGTCATTTTACTTATAAATTGTTGTTAACAGATTTCACTGATACAGAAATAATCTCTGGAGATAAAGAAGTATATTTTATTTTAAAAAATCCTGAGACAGTCTTTCATGTATTCAGAATGTGTGGTGTATAACATTGGAACGCTACTACATTTGCATTTCTGGAGATTTGTTTTGTCTGTATGGATATGTGTGTGCATGTTCATTTGTGTGTGGATGTGATTGTATGCATGTGTGTGCCCATGTATGTGGAGGCCAGAGGTCAATGTTGGGTGTCTTCCTTAATTTTTCTCTATTTCATTACCAAATATTTTAAAAATTATTATTGTTTTATATGTATAAGTGTTCTACTTGTATGTATGTGTGTTTACGGTGTGCAGTTTGTCAGAACTGCTGGAACTGGAATTACAGATAGTTATAAACCAGCATGTGAGTGCTGGCAACAACACTCAGGGCCTTTGCAAGAGCAATAAATTTTCTTAATCCAGAGCCATCTTTCTTCATTCGCCTTAGTTTTGAGACACTGACTTTCACTGAATCTCGGGATCTGTGATTCAGTGGCTAGGGGCTGCCTAGCAAGCCTCGGTGATCCTTGCGCCTCCATGTCTGCAGTCCTGGGATCATGTGCATTCATCCCCATGCTCAGCTTTTATGTCTGCACTGGCGATTGAACTCAGACCTTCATGCTTGTGTGATGGGCACTCTACCAACTGCACCCTCTCTCAGGCCCCGGAAAATAGTTAGCTGCCAACTCATGCTTAAACTGGCAGCGTTTATATAGCTTGAAAACTAGTGAGAACAATAACAATTCCTATACTATAACTTAAAAGATGTAGAATTTCTAATAAATATAGTACGGTGAATGTGGGTTTATGTTTAAAGGCCAAAAAGTAAAGGTATAGACTGCTGGTAGATAATAAAGGAAGGGACACAGTATGGAAGATGTTAACTATTAGACGTTGCAAGTAGAGAAAGTTTGTCAATTTTGTGCAAAATGTACCAATAGTATTCTTGTGTGTGTGTGTGTGTGTGTGTGCGTGTGTGTGTGTGTGTGTGTGTGAACAAAGAACAAGGTTAACTCTGTGATAACTGCTTCTCAGAGAAGGGTTGACTGTATGAACTTGACTCCTGAGCTTGCTTGTACTTGGCCTTCTGTTGCTGTTATTAATGAGGAAAACGTTAATGATGTGGGAACACAAATCACATGTGAATAAATGTACCGTCTGCATCAGAATGAAATACTTTCTCCATTTTCCATGTCTGAGAGCCAATTCACATCACAGAGATAAATGATTTAGTAGAACAGACTGCCTTCTATTGCGTGAGGTTTTATTGAGAACTTGTTGACCAATGCTGTTTCTTAAAGCTTCAAAGGCAGGTCTAAGGAGGGAGCAGGTATGCACTGGAGTATGTCTCCTTACATCTCTTTGTCTTTTGCTGTCTTTTTCTTTTTGAATAGTTGGTCCTAGTGGAGTTATTGTTTAAGCATATTATTCAGTTATGCTAATTCAAGAGAAATATTTACTCAGTCACATGAAAGGCTAGGCACAGTATCATTTGCTGTCATTAAGTCCTTAGTATTACTGAATGTGTGTAGGTGGCACTGTACTCTCTTAATGGATTTGCAGACTAATAGTAGTGCTTAAGGTGGATTTTCTATACCTTGGAATTGACTTTTTATTAACCTGTGTGATGGCCTTACTGCAATAGGCTTAACATAAGAATCACAGTTTCTCAGAAAGAATATAGTACCTAGCAAGTCCAATGAGATAGAGATGCTTTACAATAAATCTTGAATAATCACATTTATACTTAAATGTTTTATTCTGAAACAACATTAGACCTAAAGAAAGCTTGTAAAGTAGTATAGAGAGTTCTCTTCCACCTCTTCCACTTCATATAAAATCTTACAGTAGGGAATAACATTGATATTAATATTTTTATCTATATACCTTAGTCATTCACCAGCCTTTTAACTAATAATCTTTTAGATTTCCCTGGGCCAAAGTATCTTATATTTCATTTTATTTTTCATTTCTCTTTGGTCTTCTTCTCTAGTCTGTGACAGTTCTTTGGTGACTTTTGTCTTTTATGAACTTAACACCTTTGACTAGTTATTTTTTTGGAATACTACTCTACCATTAGAATTTTCAAGGCCGTTCTGCTTTTGAAAAGGGATGGGAGTTGCTGAGGAAGCCACAGCAGTGGTGACAGCTGAATGACATGGAGACTCAGGCAGAGGAGGCAGCATGGCCAGTGGGAAGAGGGTAAGAGGAGGGGAACTGATTACAGGATCAGTTTTCTTAACAAGTCCTTTTGATATTTTTGGTCCTACAAGCTTGGATAGTGACTAAAAAGGGTCCATGGCTTCTAGAAATAAGCTCGATCTACAGCTGCTAGGGAACAAGGTGGGGGAGCTATGCAGTTTGCGAAAACGGCTGAAGGGTGTAGCAGAGGTGGACAGGAAGGAAGAAGGGCTGCGTTTCAGATTATCTTAGTTGGGGTTTCTACTACTGTGAAGAGACATCATGACCATGGCAACTCTTATAAAGGAAAAAAAAATAGGGGATTGGCTTATATTTTCAGAGGTTTAGTTCATTATCATTATGGAGCAACATGATGGCATGCAGGCAGATATGGTGTTGCAGAAGGAGCTGAGAGTCCTACATCTTGACCTGCAGTCAATAGGAAGTGGTCTGAGACACTGGGTGTAGCTTGAGCATAGGAAACCTCAAAGTCTACCTCCACAGTGACACACTTCCTCCAACAATGCCACACCTTCTAATAGTGCCACTCCCTA